CGTTACTTAGTATTTTTTTAAAATAATTATTTGATAATGTCTAACAAACAGAGTATCGTTCTATGCGTTGTATAAATATATTTTACAGTTAGACATACATTTTAGAAATGTTTTTTATTTTTAATTTAAAAACATCTATATTTTGTATACCTACAAAAATGGAAACGATGAGCTATTATGATTTTTCACGGGTAACGAAGTGCACGGGTTCATCTAGTTATAATATATAGTTAACATAACACATACATTTATTATTTTTGATTTAAAACACATTTTACCATGACATTAAAATCGTTCTTTGAAATTCGGATAGTTTGAGGTGTAAATTAACTCTATTGGATTTATATTTGTTTTTTTCCTACAAATTTACAGTCAATAATGCAGTTCAGAAATTCTATAAGCTAAACATTGACTTGGAAAAGTTGGACGAAAATTGGTATGGTATTATAGTATTGTGTGACCACATTATTAAAATACCTAAATGTTATTCATAATACAGTGCAAAACAATATTATAATAATACTATTATAACTGTTCAATACACATAGAATTTATTTATTCCTTATTAAGAATTATAATTGAATGAGTTCAATAAACTAATACATTCTTATCAACGAAACAGAACTCGGAAAAGCCAACTATTAATATATAAGTAGAAATATAAAAAATTATATAGATAATTATATTGGCTAATAATCCCGTGCCCTAGATGTCAAAAAATTAGAAAAAACAGAATTACTATACAATTTGATTTGATAATTTTATTTGAATTGTAAAAACATTCATACCTAATATAAATAAAATAATAAAAACCTTCAGTCAGAATTGATTTTTTGTAAACGAGTGCAGACGATGCATATTTAAATACACTCAACTGACATTTTTACATATCTACACCAGATTCACGTCGTCATATAACCTACCTACTCGAATCTGTAGCATGTCTGATCAATATTGCTCACTAGTAGTATGTAGCATGTACATTGTATTGTATCTTAGTGGATTTAAAAATTATAATAAACTGTATTTTTTTTTTTTATACGATATTAATGAATAAATATTCACTGCATATTTTTGATGTTAATAAAATGTTAATTTAAAATAGTTAGTTATTACATATATGTACTTAAATATTTATTAATTGCCATTTGTTATAAAAATGCACATATGTAGGTACCTACATTATGACGTGTTTAATAAAATTGTAGAATTCATTATACATCAGATGAGAAATTAATTTTATTATTATACATTTATAACAGCTAATCGAATAGGTAATTTCGATTTGTAAATATTTATTACTTAGTACATATTATTTCCGAATGCTGTTAAGAATGTAATATTAAATTGTATTTGCGTTGTTTTTTTAAATAATTAAATGTAGTGAGCTATTGTCTAAATGTAGTGTGCTACTTTTTTGCCACATTATTTTTAAACATTTTCTTATTGAAAAGTAAGTCTAATTGACATTTAGTAACTGCACGGAATTTGACTACGTGAGTATAATAATCAATAGTTCCTAAATTTCACTAAATACACTCATTATTATCATAATTTAAATAAATAAATATAATATTTATCATAATACTTTTACCATCACCAAAAATATGTTGTAGGTAGCGAATTAATAACTATAATTTGGCTACTCTAACAGTACATTTCTAGCGTGTTATAATAGGTATATCGCTACATATGGCTTTAATCGCTGCAAATCAAGTAGCATGTTGCAATCACCGCTCTAACCCCGACCACTACCCATTCCAGACTGGAAGTATGATTATATTAAATTATTATATATTAACACTTTTTAACAATAAAAATTGGTACCCTATGGTATATATAGTACGATCAAGAAATGAACTACTCATAACTGTACCTACTACCTAACAAATTAAAATATACATTTAAGTTTTAGTTTTAAATGACAATTATTTTGAAAAGCAATTCTAAAAAACTAGAGTTGTAATGTTTTAAATGTTTTGTAAATTATTTAAAACAGTAGGTACATTAAGATACATGTTTAAAACAGTATAAAATCCAGATGAAAACTGTGTAAACAATTTTTTTTATGTTCTCATATCGAATGAAAATAACATCAAGTCAAAAATCAATATCCAAAATTCAGATTTGTGTTCAGATAATATACGTAAAACAACATATTTCACATTTTTCAAGTAATGAGAATACCATTAGTTATCAGGAAGATTCAATTTAAAAATAAAAGTTTATTACCTACCAATCTATTATAATACACCATATAGAACACTATACTAGTTAGAAGTTGATGGATTTGTATTAGGTAATATGTTCACATTATTCTTGATATAATATAATGTAGAACGATGATCATGATATTGTGTATTCTTCTACAGAGCTGATAATAATTATAAAGAACATTTTTTTTCATTTGGTTGTACAATATTTGTCTGTAAGCAGCAACGTTTTTGTTTCAGTCATAATATTTAAGTTTGTGTAAATTTATATGTTCAATGTATCGCAACATAATATACAGGAACTTCAAGTATTCTTTCGGAATATTTATATTATAAAAAGCTTTTGATGTAACTTTATTATAAATAATATTTTCTCGTGTATGAAACTACATTAACCTGTCAATTATTTTCCATGTTAACCCTATGAGCATTAACGATTTAATCTTGACATTATTTTTAAAGTAGGTTGATATATTCTAGATTGGCATTTTATGTTTAAAAATATATATAAACGAAATGCCAATTTGGAATTTAATGTATAAATTTTTAAATAAAATATCAATACAGAACGTGCCTACTTTAAAAAATATAATGTCAAGATTAAATCGTTAACGCACATAGAGTTAGCGTGGAAAAATAATTGACAGGTTAATGTATATTTGTATACACGAAAAAACGTAAAACTTTTTTTTGGAATAAAAGAACTTGAAAAGCATGTTCTTATTATTTTATACTGTGAAAGGAAAACTTTGCTGAATAAGATTAAAAATATCGTACCTACCTAAAGTCACAGGCTAAACTATCGTAAGTGCGAAACGAATTTATTTCGTTAGAATTGATCTCAAACCGAAACTTTTGTATACTTGGACATTTTTAGTAGAAAAAAAACGTGACGGTTCACACGGTGAGATTATTATTATTTTTTTAATACGTGATTTATATGTTTTCCAATGCTATCATAAATAACTCTGTAATGGAAACTTTGAGTGTTCTTAAAATAAATGAAGAAAACGGTTACGTCTTTTTTTTACCGTTGTTAACAAATAGCACGAACATTGTACAACGTTAAATTAAAATAAAAAGCAAGCTAATTTTTATGTTAAACTGGAAGATTTAAATAATAATATGTTTCAGTAACTATACATATGGTGATTTGCCAAACTAACTCCAATTTTCTTTTATTGATTACATTTCTGGGTTTTAGAATTTTTAGAATACTTATAAGGACTATATTTTAAACTACATTTACACTATTAAACTATTAAAAAATTATCTTGTAGTGATCAAAATTTTATTAAAGCTCTTAATTGAGGCTTAAGTACCTATATTAAAAACTCTAAAATAAAAATTTGAATAAATAAGGGGCGAGCACGCTAATACCTGTATACAATTCAATTTATCTGAATCAATTAAGCTATTGTTTGATTATTTCATATAAAATAAAATAAACGGTCTTACCTATTATTATTATATTATCAATATTATTTTGGTTCTCTGCAGTTTTTTTTTATGCAATAATATGGGTTCATGTTACCGAATATTGTCTTGTTATTTTGCTCGTAATTCAGTGTCTACCGTGTATGTAGTAAAACAAAATTATTAATCGATTTCATGGATATCAGCGCTTGTATTTAATGTTATTATTATTACAAGTAACCACGTTTATATCTGTCGCATAAAGAATGTAATTTGTATAAAACATTTTCTGCAATGGGAAATACATTTAATTTTTATTAGGATTAATATAATATGTACACTTGAATTTGAATTATTTTAGTCTAAACTATAAAGTTATAGAAGATTATTATTACTATTTGTGTTTCTACTTTGTGGTACAATAATAAATTATTCTCGACAATTATGTGATACGTTTTCATTAAACTACGATTATTTTTAAATATAATATTATTTTATTATTATTATTATTTTTAAATGTTAGTTTAACGGTTTTGTTTGAACGTATTTAATTATTTTGAATGATTTATAGATACTGTTAAATATAATATTCCTATATTGTTGAAATATTTACATGTGACTATATAGATGTGTAATTAGTTACCTATGTAATAATATAATGGCATATTTTCAATAATTTCGCAACAATAAATATGTAAGGTGTGTAGTTAATAATTCGTCAACGAGTTTGATAGATGAATAAAAACTATGTGATATTATTGTACTTAAAAAAAGATAATCTGCATAAAAGTTGTCGGATAAGGGTACCTTATACCCACGGTGGCGCTGTATTTTATACATGTTTCCGTCTAATAAATTTTAATTATTACCATAGGTACACGCATATTTTATAAGCAACTACAATTTTTAAGAGAATGCCACTATACATATAAAACTCAAATTGTGTTACAAGTTTACAACAGTCAGATTTACATAAAAAAACAGTTTGGAAATTTCCCGTTAAATTAACCTACATAATATATTTTTATAGATAAATGCAGAGTAGTTTTAAGACTGTATTATTAAAGTGAATATAGTATACTGCTTATAAGATGCAGCGTTTTTGAATCTTAGCACTCCATGCAGGTATAGTTACGCATTAATGACGAGTTAAAAACCATTTAGGGTAAATTGTTTCAGATATTTGTGTAATTTGAATTTTGAAACGAAGCGGGGCTAAAAAAAAAGTTCCTGACGAAATACTATTTTTATATTAATCTTTTGGTTTTCAGAGTGATTAATTTTGTTCACGATTGTGATACTTGTTTGAGGTCGATTGCAATTAATATACGTAATGTATAAAATAAAATGGTAATTAGGCAGGCAGTACAATTATTGAATCAGTTTGATGACAAATTCACATCTGCCCAATCCGAATCCGGAATGTCTGATAAATAGTCTCAACCAAATTTCGCACATAACATGAAGATATAAATATTTGGAAAATCGTTCGATAATTATTGTGACATACCTGTGCGGGACGTTGGTGGTCGGATGGCTGGGACGAGCGGTCGGCCGATCCGTGATGGACGGTGCCGTTGAAGAGGGCGGCTCGTCGATTGGCGGTAGCCCGTCGTAGTCTTCGTGCTCGTCGTGACCATGGTGCAGCAGTCCGCTAGAAGTGGCCGCTGACTCTGCGTAACCCGGCGGATCCGGTCGGCCGTTCATATCGGAAGACGAAGCCGGAAGTTGGTGCAGGCGATGCTGCATCGACTTATTGTTGTCGTCCCTGTCCATTTCGATCTTCTCGTACCTGTCGAACGGATCGGCATCAATATTGACGATGGCGGAGTCAAGTGGCCCGGAAACCGGGACCCCGCGGGAACCGGTCGGGCTGCCTTTGGACCGGATGGCCAGCCCGCACAGAAATATGAGGCAAAAGGACAGGACCAGTATAACGCCGACGATGAGCCCAGGTAGGGCGTACCGATCTGCCCCCAGTACCAGCTGCGGAGACCGTTTGACCACCACCACGGTGACGTTGGACCGGGAGCTACCAGACCGGTTTTCCAGCTCGCAAGCGTAACTACCACCGTCCTGTGCGACCACCGACACGATAGTGAGGTTTGTATACCGGCCCTCGGTGATTGGCACGCTGCGGCCCGTCTGGCTCAACGGCCGATCATTGCGAGTCCACCTGGACGATGGTATGGGCACCCCGTACATACGGCACGACACGGTGGCATTGTCACCCTCGGTGACCACCACCACGGCCGATACGGGCACCGAGTGTGGTTCACACGCGAAGTCGTCTAGTTCGAGCTTGTCCCACGACGTCCGGGCCAGCCGGACGGGTGTCTTGCAGACAGGTGGTGCGCCGAACGGCACGTTCCGCCTGGCCATCCACTCTCGGAGCGGTCGCAGCTTGCACGAACAGTTCCAAGGGTTGTCGTTGAGCTGAACACCATGCAGTCTGGCCAGTGACACGACCGTGGATGGCTTGACGTCACGCAGTTGATTGTTGTCAAGCCGGAGCCACTCGAGCGAGTTCTCGAGACCGGCGAACGCGGTGGACTCGAGCAGAGCCACTCGGCACTCCGACACGTCAAGCCGGACCAGCCGTGGGACGTGAGTGAACGCGCCGTTTGGAACCTTCATGATCGGGTTGCCGTTGAGCCGGAGCTCCCGGAGTTCTGGCACAGACTCGAGCACGGCTGACGGTACCACCGGTATGCTGTTGTAGCTCAGGTCCAGCTCGACGAGGTTGTTGAGCTTGCGGAACGCGTATCGGTCCAGTGCCTTGATTCTGCACCGGGACAGGAACAGCTTCTGCAGGTTGAGCAGGTCGGCATCCGCGAACGCGTCCTTGCCCAGCCTGTACAACGGGTTGTCGTTAAGGTCGAGCAGCTGGGTGCCGTAGTCCAGGTGCCTGGGCACGGCCGTCATGTTTGCAGACGCGCAGATGGCTGACTCCTTGCCACTGCGCCACTTACACTCGCACGCCGCCGGACAGTCTGCCCGCGCACCGCACACCACGCACGCCGACAGCACCAGCAGCACCACTATCAGTCCGCCACCGGCCATCGCCGCCGCCGACGCCGGCGCCGGTGACGACGGCATGCGGTTGACGGGCGCCGCCGCGACGCGCTGCACCTCCTCTTCCTCTCGTCGTCGCTTACGACCTGGGTCGTCGCGCTGGTCATAATGCTGACCGAAAGCTGCAATGGTACCTGTGACACAACAGTCAAACCCAATGTGTTAATGCATGTCATTTTGTTTTAATATTAAGCATTATATTATTATTTCATTTTAAAAATTGATGACCAACAATATCACCGATATCGCTACAAATTTTCGATTCCATGGTATTATTCTAGAATCATTCGAGGCTATGCCGAAGCCTGTTTTTGTTGAAATTGGTTGTGTTGGATCTTACAACTTCGCTGATTACAAACCTTTGATCATATACTGGTATATAATATGATCTAAGTTATACAAACATTATGTTTTAGAGGTAAATGTAAAACTTTTATTTGATTCTGAACTTATAAGGTATGAACATTTTTTTTTTAGAATTGTAAGTTCATCGATACAACGTCGGAATAATATGAACGATATGGATGTTTGAAATTATTTAATTTTTCATCATTGACTGTATCATGCTGCCTAACAGAAACGATATCAACAACGTCCTTCAAATGCATGCCAAGCTGAACTCGAAAACATAATATAACACTTATTTGTATTTTTTAATACCGATTGAAGTCATCATTGAACACTTCTGATCAATAGACGGCCCAAATTAGATTTATCGTACGTAAATATGTCTAATACCTATATATTAGACATATACTATATGGCTATGTAGAATTTGTGTTAAGCGTTTTCGTGCATGTAATTAATTTTATTTATTATGATTTAAAACTTGTCAACGTTACATGGCACTCATTATAATTCTCGGCATTCCCTAATTCTCATTATTATATTCAATGAACGGTGTTGAAAAAAAGACTTGACATCTCTCCTTCTAAAATCTAATACTCTTTGTATATTTGGCCGTTTATTCAAGTAATAATGTTGAGAATGAAAACTATAAATAATATATATATATTTATATACTTGATATTATTTATATCAAAAATATTTAATATAATTAATTCCCTTGAAATTGAACAGATTTGCTCATATTATAATGTAGAGAGGTAGTTAGGTTAATAAAACAAATATAATTGTAAAAACCAAAATATATGAATAATTGTTAAGTTGGCTAATAATACCGCAGTAATGTTTTATTAAAACAATAATAAAAGAATACTGCCATATAATAATTGTAGGTAAACATCGAAGCGCGGAGAGGTGCAGTTGGGTGTATAATCTTTCATTTTACATATTTTTTTTATCTCAAATTTTCGCATTATTTCAGTTTAATAATGAAATATTAATAAATATTTTATTTGTTGTTCGTACACGCTTGTTGGTAGCTTTTACTCGCTTTGATGAATCATTTTGTCTTTCTTTCCGTTACGCGCTTGTATACGTTTCGTATTTTAATTTGATTCCAACTATGTCGACAACAACGAAATGCAAAAAAAAAAAGTATTATATTTTAACTACTCATCGTTATATCAATATGGAACTACATATCTTATTATTACGGTATAGTATAATAATATATTTATGTATCGGTTGAATCAGGCGTGGATCCAGAATTTGTCAAGAGGGTGGGTGAGGTGCACAATTCCCTTGTTATTTGAGGGAACCCCTCGTTTTAACCTTTTGTTTTTACGGTATAAGCAATATTTCCTCCTGAATCTACCTGGAAATGTTTAGTTTTTTAATCTCCTACAGTTTTACCACATATCCACATATCAAATATTGGTTTATTGTTTGCACCATATAACGATTGTTCAGAAGTTATGCTGTAGTTTTTTTTTTTTTTAATGTTTATTCGATAAAAATTCTCACATAAATAAATACATCATAGCAGACATTTATTTGTTATAATTATGAATTATATACTGCCTGGATGCCTGCACCACCACCCTAGGTTCACACTATCGCATCGTCATCAAATACACCCTCTCCTACATACATCATAATAATATATTGTGCATCGGACTTTCGCATGTCCGATTGTCGACCGATTTGTGTGCATTTCGGTTGACAACGACAGTGCGATTAGAGAGTGTTAAGACATCGAAAATCCTTACTTTCCGTCCCATCACATTCCCGACACTTAAACCTCTAATCCCTCCCCTTACTAGGGGCATAGGAATAAAATGGGTCGAACAATGAAAAAGACACAATAAATTGCGACCGCAAGACATTGAACAGTTATTCTTCGATATATTATGGTACACTCGGGTTCCCACGTGATTGGAATTGTGCAGAGGCCAAAATATTACCATCTACGTTTTGTTCAACAGGTCATTGGTGCTCATAAAAGTCTTTTAAAAATATTGATATGTCTCGAACGTAATACAGACATAATATTATCTACAAGACATTCGAAACAGTGCTTAAAAAAACATTCAATGATATTGAAGTCATGCGTATTATGGTGTAATTACTAATTTGTCATTGTATATGTTTATAAAATATAATATATCAAATATCAACAAAATGTTTAATGTTAGTGTGATTTTAGATAAAATTGAAAACGGTCGTTTCTTTTATACGATTTATAAAAAACAGGGTTTTCATTATAATAATTTGTATTTAACAAACTTTAATACGGTGCATCGTATGGGCATTATAGATACATAAATGTGTCGAATTCGTTTTAAAATGTTTATTTATTTATTTATTTTTTTTTTATTGTGCTTGAGCCCGGAATTTAAGGCCATTAGCTATTTCTTATTTTTTGTTAGTAGTGGGGGGGGGCACGTGTGTGTTTGTTTTTGGCAGAATTTTTGATTTATCTGGCATGCCCGGGTAGGGGATAGCAGCACTTGTTCTCCGGACACCGTGACTTGCCCGAAGAAAAATGCCGCCCATGGTCGAGGTATCGAACCGACGCCTTAGTGCACTGGGCCACTCCGCCCCCCTTAAAATGTTTAGTTTTATAAATAACTCATAATACCTACTTTTCATAATATTAAATATAGGTACTATATATTTTTTTATTCTAACTTGTGATTGAAATAGGTTCATTCGATGTCTATAAAGTATTGATTTAAACTATATAAACACTACAAGAAAAAAGCTAGGGGTGTCAAATCTAGCAGGCTATTCAACAAGCAAACGGAAACATAAACGGAAATTCATGATTAAGGTTAAAACATATTACCCATCTTTACTCGGTTGAATAATTGAGGTTTGTTTTTATCGTTTTTGAAAATGGAAATTATAACATTTCTGCCACACTTCGGGGAATAGAAAAGTACTTTTCGTCATTGATTGAGGTTAACTCTGTTATGGAACAATTATAATATGCAAGTTGCATGTTATCAGAAATAGTTATAAATAATCCATCGAGATATTGTAATATTACAAATTATGTAGGTATTGACTTTTAGTTCTCTCAATATTGTTGGAACAAGCCAATAAATATTGTTTTTATAATTAGTTAGTTATCTTAATTATTATAGTTTAATCTCTGTCACTAAAAATATATTTTTTTTTTATTCTAAATATTGCGGTTTGTTAAATGGCTTAATTTTTAGTTTCTTAATTTTCTTGTCTTTCACTGTATCTTAGACCATTACAAATACTTAGAATTTTTAAATTTGAGGATGGTTTCTGGCAGAAATATACATTATGTATTTGTGTTGGTATTTACAGGTACGAAACATTTCTTATATTATCATGCACAATATACGGTACTATAATTTATTATTACTATAGAAAAACAGAAGCAGTTGTTTATTATCTATTTACATTGTAGTCAAATAAACACGATCTCAGTCGGTTTAAAAATTATTATTGTGGCACATTTCTTTTTTCAAAAATAGTTATAATGCAATGATATTAAATGTAAAACTTTGATATCTTGCCTAAAACTATGTTTCAATTCAAACTCTATTTGATGGTTCATTAAATGTTCTAAATAACTCAGACTGCTTTTAAAGTGAATAAAAAATATACACTTATTTACTATATCAAGTTAAAATATTTTATTTTGCATACTTAGAATGAATAGTGGTGTGAGGTTTTGGGAAAATATTTCTTTAGTTGTATCAACACGCAATAGTGAAATTGGGTTACCTACCCAATTTCACTTACCTATTGAACTTTACCGAAAGTAAGACATGTTATTCAATATTAATTCGTTTTTATTGACAAAGTATGTAAACTTTAAGTTTGATAAATTAAAAACAAATATCTCGTCATGTTAAATTGAATTTGAGTTGAAATTATTTCGTTACAGCTTATTATCGCGGCTATATTATGAACGTTTTGAATTTGGGTGTATGTCGTTTGTCCGTTTTAACTTGTTTTTCGCAAAAAAATTCCTCAGCACACATCTATTCGGTCTTTTGTAATAAAATATATGTAACATTGGAGGAACATTTTTCTGTCAAGGGAACAGCGTATACGTTTTACGATAATATTGTAAATAATATTACGACCCAAAATATAAAATAGAACTGAAATCCGTGTTGGTCTGTACGTGTGTAAATCACCAGTGTTGATATTCCATCGACCATAAACACATTCAATAACAGCTTGAAAGATAGAGAGAGAATTCTCAGCATCTTAAGTATAGAAACAAACCGAAAGATAAAAACTTAGATAAAATTTAAGATACAATTTTTGAGATCCAAATGTATTTCCTGTGGATTTGATTACCAAAGTCATCAATTAAGGGATACGTGAATTGGTCGCAAGCATAGTCACTTTCATTCAATCGTTTTTCGGTATAAATAAAGTTCAAATAGATCATTTGAGGACATTGTATTGCCATTTTTGAGTATTGACGAGTGACGAGTGTGAAAATAAAATGTGATTTGAATGAAAACTTTACGAATGTATAGAGTTTGAAAATCCCACAATATTATGATGGATATTTAGTGCAAAACTACATCATGAAGTACTTGTTTGAATAAAATAGTCAAGGAGTTTACTAGGAAAAAGAAAAGCACTGTGAATATTTCAAAAAACTTGAATTTAGCAAAACA